CAAATGGACTTAGAGGATATCACAGTTTTAGATGGAATATCTCACCCCTTATATCCTCAGTGAAGTGTCTGAAGAGGAAGAAAAATGCTTTTATTAAAAGCAAATCTCTTTGCAATCGAGACTGGAAATATTAATATTTTTTACTGATGGAGGAAATAAAAGTGTCATATTTAACCTCAGGAGTAAAAGGTTGAAAAAGAAGAAAGGCTGTAAAGTCATCAAAAGGTTCATCCTCTGGAGAGAAAGAACGAGATCAGCACAATCTATGGATGACTTATTATTGAAATGACCGATTATCACTTACTGCTGTGTGTTAGTAATATCCTATCTAAAATTAAGCCCAAAATTCTTTACCATATAAACACATTATGGCCATTACCTGTATAAAAAGGACCACTAAAAAATAAAGTCACAATAAAATGTTTCATAGTTGTGTTTCTGTTTGTCCCCAAGTAATCTGTAAAATGATATTATTGATAACAAGACCTTTCTTACACCTGCATTTTTTTTCTAATTGCCAGAAAGTTGAGGTTTGAAAAGGATGATGGCTTGTACAGGGTCACGTGATGTTTGACTTCAGTAAACAATTTCCATGAGTTTAAGCTGGTCGTTCTGAAGCCATATTGAATACAATTTCAATAAGTTGTATCCCTTTTATAAAGTTGCCACTTTGTGCAGTGCATTTTATCAAGCCTGGTTTCAAAACATCACGTGGTCGATGGGGAAAGGAAACCCACTAAACACAGGGTTTCACAACAGCACATAACTAACAAATGGGTAATGTCATTGAAATTAATTTATATACAGTCCATGATTGTATTGAGAATGTTCATTTTGTGAAATAGCACACTCATTAAAAATATGAGTCAAGTGCTTAAAAACAATACAACTCTATCTGGATGCAGAATCTGGATATGGATATGTGGTTACACTATTTTTATTTAGTTATTACCAAATGGGGTATAAGTGGGATGCCTATCGTAGTGTCTTTACTCAGAATATCCTCAACTAAAAAGAGCCTTTTCAATAAGCCTTGTTATCTGTCAGTGTTGTGACTATAGCTGAAGGCTGTGACAGCACTGGTGAGGAAACCTCTGCGTCAGCATTATCTGGCTATTCCCATCACCACCACCACCCCCTCCCCCACCGCCCCCAGAGGCATCTCTGGCTAATTTTAGATAAGCGATGTTGTTGGGCCTTTCCGTCCTCATTAAGCTGTTAGGGTTCTAATACACACACACACACACACACACACACACACACATACATACACACACACACATTAAAATCATACACTTCATGACTAATTTAACGCAGTGGAGTATGTCTGCTGCTGTGCACAGCAACTCGCTGCCTTCAGACACAGTTTGTCTGTGCAGAGAATGAGGCAACAGCTGAGATCAATGTTTTGTCAGTGAGAAACACGTTATCTATTCTGTATCCAGCTGAGAGAAGGATAAAACTGAATCTACATCCTCAATTGGAAGCCATTAGCATTGGCATGTTGACCAGAGGTCATAGAAAGTTAATAACATTCAGCAAATTTGAGTGATTACGGGAAAAACAACCAGTGGTGACATGAAGTGGGTGGTATTTGAAGTAAAGGTTTTTGAAATTTCAGACCAGCAACTCCAGTAGCTGCCAAAGAGAGAGTAGGATATTATTGACTGGCATATGGTTATGGTTGTAAGGTTACCAATTTAACTAGAATATCCACGAGCAAGCAGCTGTCAGCTTTAGAGCAAGGCAATAAGTGCTTGCAGTGTCAAATCTAAAAACAAACAAATTAAAATGTGTTCCTTCATATCAGAACATGCTGTTATAAGCTCCACGCCTTTTGGAATCAATCCTGCACATTACTGACATCTGGGGGGCGCAGTCAGCTATTGTTGCTGAAAGTGCTGTTTGTTTCATAGTCATAGGAAAGCAGGCTAGCTTAGATTAGTCTCCATTTTAAGGGTTTTAACAATGGCGGAAACAGGGCAATCTGACAAACCCAGAGTTTTTTTCTGGTGGTTTATGCATGCACACTGTTGATAAACCTCTGATCTTTCTTGGTAAACCAATGCAAGACTAGCATACAAGTCAAGCTGTTTCCGACTCCCTTCCACATGATGTATGGAAACCCAATTTGGATTAGCAAGTAAACAATTGTGATTTATCATGGGAACAGATGAGTTTCAACTTGCTAACCACCTTAGCTAACATTTAGAGAAGATGGAGTGTAAAAACTTTATTAATTAGTGCAATTAGCAATGACTTAAGATTAATGATTTGAATCCCCCTGTAGATATTGACAGTTGACTGTACAATCAGAACTGCTTTACATCTGCGCTGTAACTGCAATAAGTTAATTAACAGATTTGCACTACAACCTAGTTTGCCTCTTATCTGTAGTTATTTTTATTTTATTTAATAACTGTACAGTACTCTCTGTATATAGTAACCATTGTCCTTAATGTAAATATGTAAGAAAAATTGTGTATCTTTCTGTTCTGTGTCCTGTGTACTGTTTGTTTGTATATGTGTTTTTTTGACTGCTGTTACAACCAAATTTCCCCTTGTGGGACAATTAAAGGATTATTCTATTCTATTCTATTCTATTCTATTCTATTCTATACATATCATACCGTATCACACACTGCTCTGTGTTTTTGATTAAACTGATTTTTCTTTTGTCATTAATATATTTAATATATTACACTTTAAAACAAACAAACAAACAAAAATCAAGATGTAGGCCTGTGTCTCATTAACTTTTTTTTGCGGGTGTTTTTTATAGAGACATGTGGTCCAGAATATGTTGCTGGACATTCAACAGAATGTTAGGTATTTAAAACAAGCTCAAACGTAAACATATGCAACAGTATTATTAATCCATTTAACAGTGCTTGGAAACATTTTTCTGTAAAATAATTATTATTTGATACTTTATGTACAATTTTCCAATAATACAGGTGTATGTTTAATCAGGTTTTTTTTTTTTTATCTCGTTATGCATGCTCAATAATCCAGGAAAGGAAATCCCAAAAGTTCTGTTCATCTAGACGTAGCGTTTTCAGTAGGAGAAATGTTTCGTCACTCATCCAAGTGACTTCTTCAGTCTCAGCTGACTGCAGGTTTCCCCAAATCTTATAAACAGTACATTTGCACAATGACTGAAACTGGCCCCACTGAATGAACAATGGGCTGGGAGGTTGGTTCCTTGATCATTAATATGCAAATTCTCATGACCACTGATCAACAACCATTGATCAAAGCTCAGTGATCAAAGACCAGTGATCAATGGCCATGAGTACCATTCACAGAGAGTTGGGGAATGGCCGCAATCACAGTATTGTTGGATGATGATGGAAGATGGTGAAAGCATTTGACAGGCATGTCAAATAAAATTTATCTTCGTAAATTACCAAACAGTAGAGGAAAATCTCTCCTACTTCATTGTCAAGTTAATTTACAAAGGTAAATGCTTAACTTTCCACTTCATACATGTTACACAATGGATCATGACTGAATAGAAGATGATTGCAATATCACAGAATTAAATTGTACTTTAATGTCTTAAATTGGGATTTTTGCAAAGAGAAATCTTTAGCAGATACAGAAGTGTGCAAATGTTTTGACTTCTTTCTTTGCTTTGTTTGGAGTCAGATTTTCTTGTGCTTTTTAAACATGATTAAACATAAAGTACAGGCACATCACTAATATTTATTCAAATAATCAGCGCATCGTCTCAAATGAAAATATGTTCACCTTACTTGACTCAAGCAGCTTGAAGATTTTTTGAATCCACAGCTGCTGACAAGTCGATTTTTTCTTCACACTGTGAATCTTTTCACACTGCGGAGGTCAACAGAAGATTTAGCCAGGCTGTGAAAACACCCAGTAATCTGCTTCTCGCACCAAATATACACCTGTCCCTCTGTTTTGGGTTAAAGATGCTTTTGTCAGCATATTCAAATTTTTTGCAGGACACTCCCGGAAGTTTTCCCAAAGATGAAGATGTTATGATATTATAATATCTGGTTTTAAAAAAGGTGTCTGACAGATAATTCATATACACTGTAAGACCAAAGGCTGTACATAAAAGATCCCATGAGAAGTATCTTGTTTTTTCATAGTGGACATGACAAGCAAGGGCTGAATCTTATTATCTTAGGAACCATGACACTGCATAGCAAATGGTAGCAACTCATCAGTCACAGGGCAGCCATCCCCGGTAGCATACCCTGATTAACTGTGGATTTAATTTTAGATGGATTCACAATTCATGAAAATAAATGTAATTATTTATTAGATAAGTCCTGAAGCTAGTGATGGAGGCCATAAACTTATCAAAGTATTTACTGAGGTCGGTACTGAGGTGTACAGTGTGTACAACCTCACTTTTGTGTTTTGCAATGTTTACATCTTAAAATACACTTCAGATTGATTGACACAATAAATCTCTCTACATGTAAATATTTTACATGCTTTCAACAAGTACATTTAGCATTAAACTGACATACAGAAGATTCTGTATTTTGCTTGTATATACACATGATTTACTTTATCAACTTAATGGGTATAAATGTTCTTTCAGTTAAAAAAATCATTAGTAAAAATAATGATTCTAAACATTATTTTGAGATAACAATATTAGCTTTCTAACTCTTGGAGTTGTCATGGAGTTAGTGACAGTGTATGAAGCTGTTAAATATTAATTAAATAACATTTGATTGTTCATACAAGTATTTATCGACATATATATTCAGAACTTATGGCTTTAGAGACTGGTCCTTACAAGTACTAGGACTACCAAGCATATGGTGAGGTATAATGTACCCCACCATACTCCAACAACCACAAACGTCTGTTGACTGACCCAGCCTAACACCAAAAACCGACACACAAACACACAAACCTAACCTAACCACTCCTCGAATCACTGCTATAACCAAGCATTATTCTTAAAAACAAACAAACAAAAAACTTCAAGGAATCACACAGCATTCTTGTACCTTAAACAGTCGCAGGATGTTCGCCACCATGATCGATACAGAGCTGGCCGATGCGCCGATGACTCCCACAACTTTATCTGGCTTCGCAAAGATGGGAGGATCACCATTAGTGCAGCGAACATCAGAGCCATCCCTCTCAATTAGTGCCTGGACAAAAGTAAGGGACTGCTCCAAGGCATAGGTGTCACGTGAACATGTGTCCAAGATTCGTGCCCCAAGTGTCACATTGGGCAGCACGTCTGGGTCTTTGTTGATGAGGTCGATGGCAAATAGCATGGCCTCCAGTCGATGGATGCCTTTCTCCTTCTTCAATTCACCACATGGCATCCCCCTCTCACCACGGGAATGCACAGGGAACAACCCACCCAGAATGATGTCACCATCCAGGCGGATTGAATGGGTATACTCCTGTGAGCCCTGCTGGGAGTCTGCTAACACAGCAGGCTTCTGGGAGGTGGAACCTTGCAGCCAGCAGCTCTTTAGCATCAGCACAGAGAGAAAGCAGTGACTGTAAAGAGTCAGGGGCTTTGACTCCCTCACCATTTTTGCAGTGACAAGAGGTGTGGAAAAAGTAAGTGTTGATATTATCACACAATCAACAGTCAAATGACAGTGCAGGCTGTGTGATAACGGAAGGCTGGGCCAGAACATGGAATATCCCTTCACTTGGGGCAGGGTTGACCATTGCAGGCAGGTCCACTTTGGAGCAGTGACCTTGCAGATTTCCTGTAGTACAGGTTCCTGTGGCAAGAACACCTTTCTCGTCTCTACAGCTCCAGCTTCACATTCTTTCAGAGACCTGCTTGAGAGAAAAATAAATCCAGATAAATAAAAATAAAAGAACCTTTAAACAAGAGATTGCACAAGTTTTTCTGAGCAAAGGCATGCCACGGTGTTTCTTTGTTATTCTGCTTTACAACCTTTAAATATTTGTGCTGCCAAATACCAGAATAACTTTTCTGTTCAATAATAACAACAAAGATTCCTACAGGAGCAGAGTTTCTGTCTCGGTGTTTAAAAAGCAAAGATGTGATTACATCCCCATGGCTCTAATTTCAGCATTTAGAAAATACATATGGGAAACACTGGCCAATTAAAGGGTCTTATGAGAGCAAAATGCCATTCCTACTATCTGATTTGTGACACATCTTCCTTCAGACAACCCTGCTTCAACTCATAAAAGTTGAAAAAGTTGCCATTGCGGCATTGAAAACATCTAAGCTGCAAAGATGAGCCGAGTGTTATGATATAAAGTGTAATTCCGCAAAACTTTTGCTCTGAATTCTAGATACCCCATTTAATTTTTTTTTGAGCAGGTGTGGGATTAGAGCTCTGGGTAGCTCCCCAACTGGGTCTAGACTGGGTCTAGAGAGTATTTTAAATTCAGGGAATTTAAAATAGAAAGTAGCTCGTCCACAGAAGGACTGGTAGCTCCCCTTACGATAAAGGTTCAGATCGCGCGAACAGGTGTGAAATGTGTGTATTTAGTTAGTTTGTTTGTTTGCTTGTTTTAATCAATTTTAAATCATGCTTTTTATTTGTTTTTTGTTTCTAATGTCTCTGTAAAGCACTTTGAATCACCTTGTTGTTGAATTGTGCTATACAAATAAATTTGCCTTGCCTTGCGTTGCCTTGAGGATCGTGTCAGTCCATTTCTGTGCACCAAAGCTGGTCACAAGTTTTTACTGATGATGATGTGTGCATCAAATTATGTTTGCAGAGGCAGTTCTCACGGGAATAATTACTGTTTCTGTAGTGTTAAAGGCTTTAGTAAAGTTTTTAGATATTTTTGGCCTTCTAACAGTTGTACAAAAAGATCAAGGCACCAACTTACACTCTCTGCACAGGTGATTAATCAGCTCAGCATCTCTCAGCATTATTGCAGTGCATACCACCCTGAAAGCCAGCACACACTCAGGAGGTTTGATCAAACACTCAAACACGTTCCAAGGATACAGTTTTGAGTTTGATAAAGACCGGAAACAGGAGGTTCATCTTATTGCTGAACGGGAGGTAGTTCAAGTCATTTGGCTTTAGCCCAGCTGAGCTTGTGTTTGCTCGTGTGCATTGTGCATTGGCCTCTGAAACTCCTGCAAGAAAAATGGCTTAACAATGATAAAAAACAAAATATCCTGGGTTGTGTCAGTGCTTTCCATTTTAAACACCGCTGGGCCTGCAAGATTGCAAAACAAAATCTGGCTGCAGTCCCAAAAAGGATGAAAAGTTGGTTTAACAAAAAAAAAAAAAAAAAAGCCAGGTGACAGGGTGTTAGTTTCCATGCCCATTTCCAGTACAAGTCTGTTGGCACATTACAGCAGCATTTTTGTAGTGGAGAAAAAAAAAATTTGCGACACTTATGACTTCATTGCCATGTTCTACTGCAAATGACGAAGCAGACTGTGTCACATAAAGATGCTGAAACCATATTTTGACCAATGATTTGTCTGGTTCAAACTTAGTCGTCAAAGTAAAAACTGCTTTGACATCTTTTTCTCACCACCAACCTGCATGTGATGTGCTGGCATTTCCACCGGCATGCCTGTAGCAGCAGATAACAAAATCGGTGATGCTGATGGACCATCTATGGCATTGGTACAGGGCAACTGAAATAATTCTTAGATTCTGGCAAAGCTTAACTCATGTTTTAAACATTTGAGTGGGTCACAGCAAACTGACATGATTAGTCTTATTTATTCACAAGGGTCTCTAGTCTCTGTTCTCTGACATGCAATCCCAAATGCATATGTTAACATATGATGTAGATTTGGCGGTTTCTTACTCCATAAAACAACATCCATATACAGTGAACTAAGAGAAGTGGCAACATTTACAAAAGGAGGACAACTATATGTTGGCACATGGTATTGCAGAATTTAGCTGTAGCTCATGGAGTTCCTCCTTCCGAATAGCCAATAAGTCTTATAGCTTTGGCCATTTTTATACAGACTATAGGAACAGGAACAGTGTCTCAAAGTCACCCTCTTCCACAATTGGAAGATTGTGGGAACAGTGTTGGTTTAGCAGCTTTTGTGATTAAGCTGGACCTCTTAAAAGGCTCTTGGCAGGTGGCACTGTGATGCCAGATGGTTCTCTACAATACACAGTTATACCCTTTGGAGTCCGCAAAGCACCTGCCACATCCTGGTTTTGACTATGTCATGAATCTCTGTGTGGCAGGCAGGAGTTGGACCCAAAGTGCAGGCACTCAGGCACGAGGTTTAAACACAAAGAACTCAGCTTTATTTGCTGGCAGGGGAAAGTCATACAAGAGCAAACTAAACTAAACTAAACTAAACTGGAAACTCACAAACTAAACTCACAGTGAGTCACAGAGAGATCCACACAGCATGAGGGACGACGCAACACTGACTCAGAGAAACACAGGGTTTAAATACACTGGGGTCGTGTCCAAATTCATGGGCTGCATCCTCCTGAGGCCGCATTTGTAGACCGATTACGTCACAGCGACGCGCCGAAGGCTGTCCAAATTCGTAGACTCCTCCGAATGCAGCCGACAAATGCGTCCTCCTTTTCCCCGAATTTGAAGGATGGGTCG